GGGGGATTGTAATCCTGTTGTACATGATGTGTGATAATTCAATTTTATAGCTATTTTAGTAGCTATACTACAGCCAGTAAAAGAGTTGGATATCCAATTATGGTTGGCTTGTAATGTGAGCTGTGTTGTATGTGTATCAAAGTTTGGAGCAAGGCAGGCACTTTCGTTGTTTCGATTTTGCAGCATGCCACGGTTACGATGGATAAAGCTTTTGCAAAGCTTTTGATTGAAAAAGCTCATGAAATGATAAAATTAAAATTGTGGGTTTTGATTATGTATTACCAAATATTATTAATTTTTTTAACTTTTTATCTATTCAGTTAAAAAACTTAAAACAGTGTACTACCAGCTATTATAAACTTTTTCTTTGCTTAAAATTTGAACTTGCTACCTTTTATGTTTTATCTTTCTAAGAGGAAAATTAGCAATCACACGGTATTAGAAATAAGGCCAAAATTTGAGGTATACAAATCTTATATGTGGGATCAAGGCATCAATAAACTCACTTCATTCCACACTAAAGCCACACCAAGATTCTACCTTATCATGCCCGGTAGTTATTGAATGAAACAAATTATAGAAATTTATTTAAGTTTATTGTATTTAACAGTAATTACATTGAGCTGACCTTTTAAACATATTTTCTAACAGAGATAGAGAATTATAAAGTACAAAGGGAAGATGAAAAGATTATGCATGTCATAAAAAAAAAACACAATTCAATCAAAACAAGAACATTTAGGAAACACTGAGGTCTTAGTCAACAAATCTACAAGTTCTTCTTTGAGGACATGTTCAAGCTTTCTTCACATTCCTTGCTTTTTGATTATGTTGGCCAGCAAACAAAGTCACAAACCATTTTGGTTTTCCAGTTTGGAAGGCAAAATACCCCATTAGTAGTCCAAACACCAATCCGCATCCATACCCTAGCAGCACAACTCTCCAACCAAATTCCCATAACTCATGATCTTTTCCATGGAAGGAGCCTGGTGGTTGTTGCAGCGTCCCATTTCCATCACAAGATTTTGTTAATGGAAATCCGTATAACCTAGGGTTTCCCTCATATGAACTGTTTTCAAAGGTGTTGAATTGATTGCCTTGTGGTATGCATCCGTCGAGTTGATTGTTGGAAAGGTCTAGAACGGAAAGTGATGTTAAAGATACCAACTCTTGCGGAATTTCCCCGACTAGCTCATTGGAAGATAGGTCCAACCATTCGAGATTGGTTAAGTTCCCAAGTGAATGTGGAATAGAACCATTAAGGTTGTTATGAGAAAGATTAAGTCCTTTGAGAGACCTAAGCTTTCCAATAACTTTTGGTATCTCTCCACCAAACTTGTTTTTTGAGAGATCAAAGCTTGAAAATATGGTCAAAACTTTTTCTAGTTCAATGAAAAATCCTTTCATTGTCACCATTACTGAATATTCATATGAAAATCTTCCCCCCATGTATTGTGCGGAGTTGCCATCTTCGTGAGCATTTACCATAGCTTTGAGATTTTCAATGTAGTGCATAGGCAAAGGACCAACAAAATTATTGTCAGATAGGTCCAAAACCCGTAACTTGGGGAAAGATGAATTTGCTTTGGTGTTGCTCACAAAACCATGATATTTGTTTGACCTTAGGATAAGCACTTGTAGCTCGGGAAGTGATTCCAACCAGTAGGGGAATGTGTCCTTTATGTTGTTGTTGCCAATGTCTAGAACCTCCAACATGCTACAATTCACCAAGGATCTAGGTAATGGGCCTTCCATTTGATTTCCATGCAAATTGAAATTTTGTATTCTGCATCCCTTTGGAAACATTGATGGCATATTTCCATGAAACCTATTTGCTTGCAAATTCAACACTGAAAGACTTTTGCTCAAGTCAGGAAGACAATTTGGAATCAACCCACTTAAGTTGTTGTGTGAAAGGTCAAGAATTTCAAGGGAATTAGCTTTGCAAAGTTCAGAAGAAATCTCCCCAAACAAGTGATTGTTTGAGATTAAAAGGTGGACCATTTTAATTGGTGGAACTGGAAATACTCCTCGAAGCTTATTGGTTCGGAAGTCAAGAATTTGCATGTTCCTCCAAGGGATCTGCTCTAAAGCCATCAAGGAGTTGTGAGAAAGATTTAGATAACTCAAAGTGTCCTTCCCCACATTCCACATCCATTCAGGAATTTGGCCTTCAATCTTATTATTTGAAAG